TAATATTCTACAGTTATATCTGGAGAGGATCCAGCTTCTGAGACAGGTGTCTAAAGGAAGGGAAGATTTCTAAGTCTCTTCATGTATCACCTGCCTGGGTCTGGTAGGATAGACTCACACTTCTCTGGGGACCTGAAGTATTATTTATAGCGTTCACTCAGTTTGAGGTTCTTGATTAGCGGTTTGGTCCCCACTTTATCTGCTGGGGTTCATCTTGCATGGAAATTCAAGGCTTGATTCTGTGAAGTTTGGTCTTACAGTTTTTAAGCAGTGTGCATGTGTTGTAAAGAATCTCCAACAAAACAATAAGAAACACAGCACTGATTGTTGTGGTGTGAACAGCACAACTCACTTAAGAGGATCATCAAGCAATGACAGCAAGGATTCAAATGGGGAGGCTTACTCTTTTGTCTACCAGGAGTTTCAAACGGCAACTGCCATTAATTTTTGGATTCCCTCGGTCCTGATAGAAAACCAAGGCATCCGAAAGTATCATTTTGTGAACAGACAGCTATTAAAAGCACATGAATAACCTACAGAGGGTATAGCATATGCCTTTTAAAAAGATTTGCAGCTTGCTTCTCTGTGGTGAAGACACAGGACTTCTCCAATCTAATTACAAAGCAATCAAACAATTTAATTAATCTGGAAACCACTTTCTTAACAATAGCTGCTGCTAAAATGAGGCACCCTGTGTCGCACTGTTAGGTTAAGTACGGTTTTCATACACTGCTTATGTATTAGCCATGCTAGTTCCCCTTGGGGATCATGGAGTTAATTACCTCCCTAGTCCCTGACCACTACTAAGATTTACCTTACCGGGTCGGAAACATCAGCAGCGATACCAGCGGTCTATAAAGCATCCTAGCACTCAACATACAAGAGCCAGCAAATCCCTGGGAGCAGCAGGGTTTGAGTTATACGCAAGTGCTGCACATATGGGCAGAGAATTCACTGGCACCAGTTTTCATTTGAGAGCCTCTCAGGTATTGCCTTGCAGATGGGTGGATGAATTCAGAGAGCAGTGCTGTGAGGAGTGAAGGTCATATATAGGACTCGGTTTCAAGCCGTCTTGCTCTCCCGTCCCAGGGACACCCTGTGCATGTGCACACTGGTCAAGTTCCCATCTCTGGCTTAAGCGCGTATGATAAAATGTGCTTTATAATTTGGCTTGTCCTAAATTAGCCATATTTTGGTCGCTGTCTAACAAAATAGTGTTGCTAAGTCTTCAGAGACCGAGTAGAAATCAATTTTTATTTCAAATAACAAAGACGTCAAAGATTAACTTCTGCCTGTCTAATCTTCTGTTCTTACAATTTTTCCCCAAGGAGAATTGAAGAATTTTCTGTACTACATGACACAAACATCTACAGAATGCTCAGTTACCCTTCTGTTATCACCACCACTCCACTTCTCACCCCAAATCCCCTGTAAGTGAGTCAGTCATCCTCCCAGTCTGTCCACATTGGAAACGTCAGTTGCTTTCTGTCTATACTCTTTTCCATTTCTTGTATCTAACCCATCAGCGACTATTCTTGGTTTTCCCACAAAAATATCCTTACTACTGGCTTTCCTGGTCTAGAACCTGCTCCTCTGCTATTTCCCTGTTCACCCTACCAGCTACATCAGACCTGTTCAAACCGTTGGCATCTCTCTTTCTCTCTCTCTCTTGCCTCCAGATGTCTCTGAAGTCCTCTCACTAGTTAGAACCAATAAGCACAGTTCACAGCTCATTGGCTTTACTGGTCTGAATTCCCTGCACCCAGAGGCCAGTCTCTATTGCATTACCCTATGGTGTTTGGGTTGTTTCTGATTCCTTCCTTATGTTCCTTTCTGTTTCTCCTCTCATCTAAAACTTGCTGAACTGCCCTTAAATTGAGCTAGAGTCTCTTGTCCTTAAGGTCTTATCAGGTGCTCTAGCCCACGTCACCCCACTCATTTTCTCTCATATCCCGTGACAATTAAGAACCTTAATGAGATTTCATGTGCGTGTATGTGTATGCATTTCAATTTAGCTTTTGAATCTGATATGAAGCAAAAAGAGAGATCTGTGAGAAGTAAGATAATGCAGATGTCTTTAATTTTGCAGTTGAAGATGTTTGGTTTTATAGCAGTGTTGGACTAGATTTAAAGAAAATGAGGATAGTTTTCTACTGATGGACCTAGATAAACAACATAACCTGAGAAGATAGAATTTGAAGATGAGAGATGGTCAATGGCAGCCTTGCTTTTTTTTTTTTTTTTTTTTTAAGAACAGAGTTACAATAATTTACCTCTGTATTTATATCTCTGCCCATCCACCCTGAAGGTGATGCATCACTGTGAATTATAAAATACCTATGGCTTACTAATATTTCTAAAAGTGAAAAAAAAGTTTTAAGTTGATTCCTTGTTTCTTTATTCTTCAGATTTTTTTAAAAGTATTTTATAAGCTCTCTGCAGTTGTTTTAGTGATCACATTATAATATCCAGATACAGTGGTTTTTTTTTTTTTTTTACAAAAATCACAGGGCTGATTATTTGGTGCCAGGTTTCATTGGTCTTATTATTTCATTCTATGTAAATAAGGTACCAGAGGTTGCTCTCAAAATGTCTTGGCTTCAAATAACACTTGTTTTGTTACTTGTAATAATTTACTGGTGGTTTGCTCTATGTGGTGTGTGAGCAAAGTGAACGTTTTCCCTCAAATCAAAAACAAAATCTATTTGTAGATTCTGGCAGTAGGAAATATTTAGGAAACAAAATTTTTTTAGCCATCTTGAAATTATCAAGATCTTTCAAGGAATATGAAGAATAATATATAAGCTAACTTAGGGATATGAGGGGAGGGCATGAAGATTGTTGGGAGAAGTTGAAAGAACGTAATTTAGCTGTGTAGATAAATGGACAAAATGAATCCTGGATTACTGGATAGCAAAAGCAGAATTCATTTCTCCAGGGGCCCAAGGAACAACAGATGCAAAGGCATGATAAATTTCATTGCAGCAGGGGGAAAAGTGCTTCATGATTCTCTATCCATAAAGAAATGGGCTTCTCAGCGCTTCCCAGTTAAATGGCTGTGATTGTGCTGTCTGTCATAAAGTTAATGGCATTTGTTGAAGACATCACTATAAAATTTGCAACCTTAAGTTAATTGAAAAATTTCAGTATAGATACAGCCAGTCCAAAAGTCCTCAAGGTAACACTAAACTTATCCTCCTTAATGTGTTAGTCTATTCTTTTTGCACACTGGCAATAAATTATTTACCTTTACAGCCAGGTACTGCCTTTAACGTGAAATTGTGTATTCTTTACACCTAATTACAGTAGTCACTTTCATTAAGAAACCAATAATAAACCTTGCTGTTAGGGATTAAGCAGATCTTCCTGACTTATTTTTTTGTTTTTAATTTTCTGGAATGCACAGGATTACTTTGCAACCTTCCCTCGCCCCCTTATTTAAACCAGCTACAGTCCCCTGCAGCCCTCAGACAGTTCCGCCCGTCTAATTAAACATGCAGAGGGAAGCAGGGTGGTCTGGAGTGTCGTGAACTTGCCCTCACCAGCTGCCTGCCAAGCTTTCTCAATGATCAGCAGCAGGTTGAGTGGTCTAATGGAGAAAGTAACAAGCCCCGGGGGAGCTGCCCTCCTTCCAGAGAACCCTGGCTGCTCCACGCCAGCCCTGGAGGACTTGGGCAGACGTGCTCTGCCAGCCTTTGTGTGGCTGCAGCTTGTCCAGGCTGCCGGGCCAGTCACAGTACAGCTGCTTAGGAGCCAGGGGATTGTTGAAGAAAATATTGACAAGGGGTAATCCCGCTGTGCCCCTCGGCACACTGAAGTGGATCTGGGCCGTTTCGAGATAGGTCCAGACCTGCTGGAGGCTTCCCGGCATTTAACAACTAGCTTTGAATTGCCAGCCCGCGGGTTCGAGACCCGCCCGGGCAACTTGGCGAGACCTCATCTCTACAATAAGTCAAAAAAATCAGCCGGGCATGGTAGTGCGCGCCTGTAATTCCGGCTACTCAGTAGGCTGAGGCGGAAGGATCGTTGGAGCCCAGCAAGTCGAGGCTGTGGTGGCCGGGAGCGGCTACTGCACTCCAGTCTGGGAGACGGAGTGAGCCTCCAACTCAAAAACAAAAACAAAAACAACTAGCTTTGACAAATCCACCTTGAAAATACGTACTTTCGAATAGGAGGATTTCTTTTCAAGAACTCAGACTTTGATTCACTCTACTACAAATAAAAATACTAAGGCTGCCTCCCTGAAATAGTAAGCACCCTCTGGTTACAGCCTATGCTTACCCCCATGTACCTGCTCTTTGAAATGTTAGCATCTAGAGGGTCACGGCCGTGACATTCATATATATTTATTATTCTGTTGGCTGAATGAAATATTTATATTGTTAAATCTATTGAGGACTGCTGGTTGGTGGTAGGATGTGTTTGTTTATGTCTTTTGCACACTTGGAAAGCTGTGTTAGAACTCAGGCCCCCCCTGTCCCCGTCCCCCCCAAAAAAAAATCCTTGCTCCAGGAAAAATCAAAGTGTTATTGGGGATTTGAAGAAAAGGGCATTTTGCAGAAATATTGTAAATATTGTGAATTTTTTTAAAATTAGCAATGCGGGGTACAAGTAAGGGCTGACTATACAAATAAGCTGCTTGCAGGCGAAGTTTGGGCCTCCAACTGGCCCTCACTTCCCCGGGTTTAGGACCAGGTACCCTTTGTGTTGTTACCATGTCGTCCCCCCCCAGCCCCCTCCTCCCCAGGCAGTGCTCAGCGACTGCCCTCCCTTGTGCTAATGTGAGCAGTGTTCAGGACCCCCTTATGAGTGAGGACATGCGTGAGTAAGAAGCATTCTTTGTTTCTGTGATAGATCACAAAGTATGATGGTCTCCAGCTCCATTCAGCTCGCTGCAAAGTCCACGATGTTGTTCTTCTTTATGGCTGCATAATATTCCATCAGGTGTAGGTACCACGTTTTTTTCTCGTAGTAAACTTGTCTCCTCTTTCTCTTCACAGGTAATAGCCCTCAAGATAGTCCACGAAATTTCTCCCCCAGTGCCTCAGCCCACTTTTCATTTGCACGGAGGTAAGGACTGCTTGTGAGTGGACTAATAAGGTGTTAGGCGAAGGATCCTATTCCTCTTCTCCCCGCCCCCACTGCTCCCCACTCCCTGGCGAGGTCCTGCTTACTATCATGTAAGGCCTTCTGAAGCTGCCCTGACCCGAGGCTACTACGGAACTTTGTTTGCAGACCGGCTTTAGCATTTTAATGATGTCGGCCTTATGTTAGCTATATGTCCCTCTCTTGGCCATTCCCTGGATGGATGAAGACAATGAGCTCCCCAGGAGGGCAGGCTATGACCCTTTGTATCTTTCTTCCATCCCTATTACAGTGCCTTGTACATGCTTTGTGCTCAACAGATTTTCATTGAATTATCAGAGCTGATATTATTGAGACTCAATTCATCTCTGTGCAACTTTTTTTGGTTGTCAAAATACCTTTTATAAAAATGACTTTCTTGGAATCACAGGGTGTTAACTTTGAGGTGCTCCTCTATTTGAGAGCATCAAGCCAGCAATCGAATGGTCCCCTTGGGGAAAAGACATGCAGGAGCTGTGGAATTTTTTTTTATTTTTTTTTATTTTTTTTTTTATTTTTATTTTTTTTATAATAATTAATCAGTATTTTTATTATAGTTTTGTGGGGTACAGTTAAGGGTTAGGTGTACAATTACGTTTCATTCAGACACCCTGTTGATAAGAGGTGTTTTCCCAGCCCCAGACAGATATTTGCTACTGTTAATCCCATCTCCCTCCCCCCCATAGTTTCCTAGTACCGTACATATACACGATGGAATTTTTTATTTTCTCTCCTCCTATCACGTTTTAAATTGGGCACCAAATATCAAAGATAGATGCCTCATACCTGGGTCATTGAGTCAAGAGGGAGTGTTTTTGCTGCTCAGAGGACGGAGGGTACCTAGTCTCATCTCACACCTGTTCAGTTGTAGACTTTCTGCTATGATGCAGCCAAGTCAGAGGACTGTGCTCAGTCATCTCCTCTGTGTTCTGCATGTGGAATTAGTGTCCTTCACCCTGTCAGATTCAAGCCTTCACCTTTCTGGGCTCTTTTACCCTCTCACATGCATACCGTGTCCTCTTCCACACAGGAAAACCACAGAGAAAACAAAATACCCCTTCAGCCAAGGGTCTGAATGTCCAGGATAAATTTGGTGTATGGTGCGAATGTCCTAGATATTTGGTAAATGTTCCTCAAAGACCTAATCATATCCTGGAGTAGATTGAAGTAGCACTTAATAAAGACACATAGGTAGGTTAAAAAATATATTTGTTCTTCCTCAAGTTACTAACCTGCAAAATTTGCAATGTCCTCATTGCCGTTTGTCAGTGTGGAGCATATTTTATATTACTAAATCCAGAAAAAGATGTGTTTGCAGCATTTTCCAAATTCTGTATAAGATTTTATTATTTAAAAAGCTTGTTCTTTCATTATCTTAGTCATTTCTTATCATACATTAAATGCCTATATGCATCCCTCTGTGGGGAAGATACAAGAATAATTAAAATATCACCAAGAAACTTATTGGGACCTACATCCTGATTTTCTTCAGTTCCAACTTTTGGGTTTTTGTTGTTATTGTTTGAGTTCACTATTTTAAGTACTATAAGGAAATTGTGAGAATTAACTGGTTCCACAAATCCTGTGTTTACTCGTGCATATTAAATCATGCTGGTGCTATTATTCTTAGTGGAAAAAAAATCCTATAAAAATTGTTAAATAAGTGTCCACCATAGTCTTTAAAACACATCTCTAAAAAGGGGAGAATGCATTTAATTACTATAAGCAATAAGAAAAATGGAAATCTCATTACAGAGTGCATTTAAACATGACAGAAATCATAGTGTCTTAATCCTGGCAGATTTATAAAAATGAAGAGAATCTAATAATTAAGTAGGTGACTGAGGACAGATGAATCAGGTTCCTGTGCTATAAAAAAAAAAATACACAAACCCCCAGGCGTGTTCATTTTTGACAAATAAACCATAAACCGTGAAAGGAGATTATCACAGGAGACCTCTAGTTCATTTTGAATAAATTTCCAGATGGAACTCCTTCCACACTCTTCAAAAAGTATTAATTTAGATTAGAACATGAGTGATCATCTTTTTAAACTGGATTTGAGTAAACAGAGCCCTGTGTTAGTAATGAAAACTCAAATTGAAATATTTTTATTTAATATCTGGAGTCCTTCTCTCCATTTTAGAGTTGATTTTCATTTGAGAGACATGGAGATCCCACTCCTGGATGTCCAGCCCCTTCCATCTGGCCTGCCTTTCTGAGCCTTTAAGACTTAATGTCATTTTGAGACTCACACATTTTTTTGTTTTGTAAATTTAGTTTAATAGAGGAAATAATGCTCTGTGTTTTAAATTAGTCTTGGGTGAAGGGATAAAAGGCTGATTAACCTTTTCTGATCTGTCTTGTACCATGAGATAATGCGCCCCTGGTAGACATCCCCTGTAATGTAATAGTCCAATCGTAAGACTGGAAAGTATGATGACACACACTTGCTTTCTACATTTTCAAATGCAGATTTGAGAGTGAGATTTTCAAGTGAATTTTTTAATACTAAGGTGAAATAAAGGATGAAAATGAACACCAAAGTATAGTAAATTTTGTCTGGAGCAATGAAACATTTCACACTGCTAATTATAATACTGATTTACAGTCCACCTGATCATGATCTTACTAATACTTTTCTCCTTGTTGGTAAGATAGAGGTAGTAATATTGTCCTGCCTCTCCCAGAAGTTGTAAAGGTCTACCTTTATTGGAAATTGGAAATTGGAAATTGCTTTTGCATCATTGAAAAATCTAGAAATGTCTTGGGTCTCTTCTAGTTGTCTAGTTATTATTCACCAGGTTAAATCTCAGAATATATTTCTACAAGCAAATTACTAGAATAGACTTGTCTGGTGAGGTCAGGTGATCAGACACTTGTTGATCACCTCCTAGTTACTCCTTCAAAATTCCTTCTGGATAGATTTTAGTTCGTTAACGTTATAATGACATAGTTCAGCTTGTTCCAACATCACCCAGAATATACAATGTATCACCTCAGGTAACTATAATGAACAGTAAATCGGCTTCCTCTTCATTCAGGTAGGATAGCCAGGTTGATACTGGAGCTTTTCATTTTCTTTGTTGTATACCATATTAATCAAATTTTTGTGAGTAGTGTTGAAGTGATTTGTTTTTTGCTTTTGTCCAATCTCTTTGTGACCTGTGTTCCCATCAGATATGTTCCCCTGCTTACTTTTTCATTTAATGTAACACTGAGGTTTCCACCCACAAAGAAAAGACTCTTCAAAAAAGCCTTGTTGCGTTGGCAAGAATTGTGTCTTGTCTTCAGATCGCATTTTATTGGCAGCTACTGCAAAGAAAAGACAACATTGTTAGTGGGATCCAAATTGCACTTGTGTGATAGCTTTCTTGAAAAAAGGATACACTCTCTCTTAAGTACTGTATATAGCATATATAGTAACTTCTGATGTGCGGTTGTCATGGTAATGAAAATGCAATGGTCCTTGGTGCTCCATTTGAGTAAATAGACACAGGCAACTTAGGGAACTTTATGAGTCGTAAATTATTTCTCGTCCGTGGCTGTACAGAGTACCAAGCACATTCTTGTTTAAACATCTTTCTAGTTGTGTGTTTTCCGGAGCAAGCAAATGTAATTTATGCTTCAGAACTAATAAGAACATGTCTCCTCTTGGAATTGCTCATTCATCTGATATATGTTCGTTTCGTTAATACCTGAGGGAAAGGAGAGTTAATGAATCACAAAACAAAATCATGGCGGGGAAATGGTGTCCCTCACTCTTTCCAGAGACTAGTTTCTGATAATTGCTATTAAATGGACTGAATAATTCTTTTAAAATCATATCCTTTTCTTTTTCAAATTGGAGGTGTTAAAATATATAATGCAGGCATGAATATTTATCTTTTTAATAAGTAGCCAGATAAATAGGGTCAACCTGTGTCCATTTAATAGTCAGATGTCTTTGTAAGTGTATTCTTATAATTATTTTCTTCTTAAATCTTTAACTTTTTTCAATTCTTTAAATATATTTCTAAAGAACATATAACTTAGTTCTCCCAATTCCTTTCACTGACATACTTACATACATCTTATTTTGCTTCTGGTTTTTGTTTTGTTTTTAACATACTTGATTCAATTGTACTCCAGTCATGGTACAGGAATGACAGGTGAATTTTACTAAAATCTTAACATGTGGTCCTATGATTTGTCCACTTGAATTTCTCCATTTTTATCTGTGGACCATTTGCATTTTGTGGACCATTAGCGTTTATTGGTGGTAATATCCATGACAGCCTATGATTTTATTTTTCCTGAATGTAAATTTAGGGTTTATATGTCAGTTTTTTTGTGAATAGATAACTGTGACATTTCTCACATTCAAGTCTAATGCTGTTGAATTCCCTGACTTCAACCTATTGTGACTGACTCTGGTAAATTTTGTCCACTCTTGTCTCTTACTTGGTAAATTAATATAATCATGAGTTATAAAATGTCCATGTATGATACTGTGCCTGATAATGTAATACTGTTCTTTATAAAGTGTTTTTTCCTGTTTTGCCCCTTGACTGATGTGCATATATTTGTTTTCACGATGTTATATGGTTTATAAAGCACAGTCTGACTCTAAATTGCTGTTAAAGTAATAGCTCTGAGATACCAGATTTCAGAAAATTTACTTTCCGGTGTCCCCTTGCCTTTGCAGCAGTTTCGTTGCTACCACTGCATTTACTCACCCGAGACCCTCATAATGACCCTGATTCATAACCAGAATCAAAGTCAGAAACTACCCATCCCATCACCATTTGAAGATAAAAACCACTCTCTTCATGGCTCCTGACAGCTTTGCCTCTAAGATTGGGGCAGACAACTTTACTCTTTGCAATAAGTTCTGTCGCGCATGGAGAATTTTTCATTCTGCTCCCACCCTCACTGGTCAGAGCTGGGCTGCAGGCTCAAAAACTGCAAGAGGCTTTGGCTCTAATGCTTTATGAAGCCAAGTCATGTCAGAGGATAATAGCTCATAAGAGTTTCTGGGCCTAAGGTCGGTCACTTTCTTAATTCCAAAGTTGTTTGCCACCTTGATCCCTTCTTCCTCAGGTGTGATGAGGAGAACTATTCCCTTGGATATCGTAAATAGAATGTGTTTTGGACTCAGTAAAAGTCCCCACAGGCTCTTGTGGCATGCTAGACCAGTCCCTCCTAAAGATCACTGGCTCTGGTTATCAGTTTCCAGATGAGACTGTTCTCCCCCACCTTTTTTGCTTTTATTCATTTGAATCTGCTGAGTCTGACCATTGTAATTATCCCTGGTATTCATTTTGTCAAAGTGTATTAGTGAGAGATCAATAATATGGATCAACCCATTCACTTGCTACTTGTTTGGGTGTATTGATTCAGTTTAAATAAAAGTCAACCTGCTGTATAATGTTTGTTTACCCTGATCCTTGCTCAACATTTCCACATCCTCACAGATGATGTTTGTGTCATTTGCTTGACTAAAAATACTCGGTTTCCCTGGGATTCCCGTGTAACAATACTCTAGTGTTGGCCTAAGCTAAACTCACTTTCTCAATAGGACTGATGGACGCCGCTGGTCTTTGGCTTCCCTCCCCTCCTCTGGCTATGGGACAAACACACCCAGCTCTACCGTATCTGTAAGTGCCTGACTTTTTTCTCCTCTCCCTTACCACAGTGCTGTTAACGCAGGCGGTGTTTTCTCTGGGTGTTTCCTGGTAGGGAGGAGAAGATAAATTCTGCATGGCTGCCACTCTGAATAGGTTATGCATCAAATGATCACCTGGCAAACATAAAAAGGACATCCTTTTGCTGCAAGCTTTTAAACTGTAGTGCATAAATTAAGTTCCAGAATTACAAGTTTAGAGGAGGTTGGGAGCTTTCGTTTTAATACCATTTGGTGTAGTTTGGGAAAAGACCAAAAACAACAACAACAACAGCAAAACACTATCTGGTTTTATTGCTTTGGTTCCATGCCAGTAATATTAGTGCTGGAGATGCTATTGAACTTTGATAGACTGGGTCTTTTTTCTTTGGTGGCTTATTTACATGGAGGCTTGTTTTGTTTTGTTTCCTTTCTCCATCAAAGGAAAAAAAAGTGGCAAGCCTTAAATTGTCTGTGCTTTCTAGATAAGAACTTTCTTTTTAAGAAGAGATTAAAACAACTTGGAAGAATTGGTTAAGATAATTAAAGAGACAAGATGGAATCGTGAAAATAGGATAGAGGAAAAGGGAGTTCTTGCCCCACACAAAATCATTTCAACAAGAGGCCTACCAATTACTGGAAACAATAAAGTAGGTTAGATATATGCTTTTTTGGTTTAAATTAGTAATGTTGTTCGATATCTGTAGCTACAGGGCAGTAGAAACCAGGTGGTCATTTAGAAAGGTCCCGTATATTGTAGGTGTTCAATAAATGAGATGATCCGGCCGACCTTATACTAGCCAGGAATGTGGACCTATCACTCTAGAGCACCTTCTGATTCATTTCCTTCCTTGTTTTTCAAACTCTCTGGTTTATTGTGTAGGCATATCCATCTCTTGTATTTTTCACAGCCCCCAGCACTATGTTATCTACATAGATTCAGCCACTGTAATAATTCTTGAATTGACAAGAAACTACAATGAAATATACAAACTCTGGTAACACTGCTGCCTTATGATATGTCCTTCCAGAATTTTAAGTATAATATAATATGGGTATAAAATCTTTTGGATTATTTTAAATATCATATAATATGGATATTCTGGAGCACCTTTAAAACCAAACTTTTAAAATCTGTTGGGTTATTTTTACCTTTTATTTATTGCATTTTTCTGAGGAGAGGTAGTTTATTTTCCTACCCATTATTCTATTTTCTTGTGATACATGAGTTTGTTGTCCGTTTAGATCATTTCTGAGAAGTGTTCTAATAACCTTGAATAGTTTCAGAGGCATATCAGCCTCACATCAGTAAAGGATGCTTAAAAATTCTGAACAGCATCAGTGAATAAAATTGTCACTAAATAATAAAGTCATTCTTAATTATTATGACAGTAACCATCATTGGTTATTGGCCCATACTTTAGACGTGTCTCCTGACGCTAGATTTTTTTCAGTCTCAACTTATCAGCCTACATTGCTTTCATTCAAATTTTATTATAACTTTTCTTATACAGAAATCTCTCTTTTGCAAGAAAAAGAAGGGAGAGTATAGGATCTTTCTTCTTTCTGCCTCTAATTACTAAGACATGTACCATTTTTAAAAGTAAATCTATAAAAAAAGGGTGAGCTACATAGAATCTGACCCCAATTGGTATGAATAATTTTTAAAAATAATTTTACTGAGCTGGGCGTGGTAGCGCGTGCCTGTAGTTCCAGCTACTCGGAAGGCTGAGGTGGAAGGATCGCCGGAGCACAGCAGGTCGAGGCTGCGGTGGCCAGGAGCGGCCACTGCACTCCAGTCTGGGCAACAGAGTGAGACTCCAACTCAAAATAATAATAATAATAATAATTTTACAAGTACTTGTTAGGTGCTAGGCACTAGTCTAACTATTTGAAATGCATTGACTCATTTAACTCCTAGCAACCTGCCCTACGATATAATTGCTAATATTTTCCTCATGTTATGGGTCAGAAATCTGAGGCACAGAGCATTAACTGAGAGGCTGTTTACCACCCACTCGTTTTATCAATAAGAATATCCTCCGTACTATAGGCTCCAGTCTCTTGACTCTGTTAAAGGCATTTACATGGCAATTCTTATTAACCTGACCTGGTCATCAGTCAAAATGGAATCCTTGCTGTCGAAGCCCTGAGACAAGTATTAGGTATACACACATATTCTGTGTTTCTAGCTTTTCTGTTTATTGAAGAAGATACTATCATACAATTATTGATTTCAGTATTCCTATATTTTTCTCCAAAATGGAATTTTAACTTCCAAAATTACTCTTTTTGCCAAAAGACAGAAGGCACTATTTAATTTGTGGCCTATACTGCTGTAGTATGAAAGTTCAGCTTTTCTTCTTATTGGTTGCTGGTTAAAGTAGTAAACAAAAGCTACTTCTCATTTTCCTCAATGTTTTTGTGCGTTCTTGTCCTTTAAATATTAGGGCAAAATTTGTTCAAAACTGCTTAGTAGTTATAGTTTCTTCCTTTCTGAATCATTCTTAGATTTTCATTTTCCCTGGATTAGCTGTTCACCATTTAGCTGATCAGAAATGCATTTTAGTTGTTTCTAAAATGAAAATACAGAAATATACAAATAAAATTACAAGCACTTTGAAAATATACTTTACATTTTACAGATAATTGGGTTGTTAGCTGAGTGCTAGGACTGCTTATAACAAAATGTAAATATTATTGTATCTGTATCCTTTGCATATTGTGAAAACTACAAAGTAGCCAAGTGTCAAAATTGCTATATTCTGAAATTAGAAAGATGTGGTCATATGAAGTTAATTGGCTTTCCCAGAGAATATTTAATATTGCAACTTTTTTAATGTCTGATTTTGCAGTTAAAATTAATTTGTAGAACTCTTCCAAGGTACTATTCAGATAATAATTTTTAATTTTGAAATAAGTAATATGGAATTTCAGCAGTAGGAAGACATACTTCCATATATTTCTTACCATATAAATTATTTTCTGCTGAGTGAAAGAATGGAAATAAGAATATAAATGCCCACAAACATAAGGTATGAATGTAAAATGATATTATTTTAATAAATAGTAGAAACTTATATACACATTTGAATACTACCCTTTGCCAAACAGTCATCTTGAGGCTAGCTGCTTATTTGAATGATATCATTACTCAGAACATATTTTTGGTACTCTAATTGCCTTAAGAACTAACAGCACAGTTTTTTGTGTAAATCTTTATTCTTTGAAAGTGAATTTGATTTATGGTGTAGTAAAAAGGCATATGCAAACTAGTAGGATGATGAGACTCACTGGCACCACACTTAGAGAACATGCTAAAAATACAAAGTATGAGACTCAGTTTATTGGGAAACTCACAAACTAATTCTTGAAATACTCCCAAAAGTGTATCCCAAGTACATCTGGAGCCGCGGAGGTGTCTCTCCAGTAGGTGCGAAGTCTTGGGAATAGCACTTGAGTCTGCTGTTGCCTGGGCACCCCTCTTTGCTAGCCTTTCAAGTTCTCCTCTGAGTTCCTCGTCTCTGCTGAAACTGAACCTTGTTCTTCTTGATCGTCCAACATGACAGGTCCCACTTGGGACCTCTCATATCATCCCCCAGGCCATTTTGCTGATGAGTTGTCCCCAGTGCCCTAGGCTCATCGTGGGGTTTGGCCCGATTTCCATTTACACCTTGTTTGATTCAAACTTAGATGAAAGAGACTCTCTAGCGAAGCTCTTTGCCTCCTACTTTCTGTGTATACTGTTAAGGTTTTAACAGTTACTGGTAGGACAACCTCCTTCAGCTTATATTCTCTATCACTAAGCATGGGCCACATTCCTTATGGAGTAAAGTTATCTGGTCATGTGTATGATACAATCACAAAACCATCTTTAGACTTGACAAATGTTAACATTTGTTAACAAACATTTGCCACAGTGATGTTTTAAAAAGAATTTTTATTTTTACTAAATAAAATAAAGATACCACCGAAACCCCTCCCCCACCTAGTCTCCCTCCCTCTCCTCTCTTTCTCCAGGGGATCATTCTCTGAAGTCAGTTGGTTCCCATGCAAGTACAGACCCATAATATCTTATGCAAAACTCTTGAGCCCAGTGTGTTTTGGAATTAATTTTCACTTTTAGAAAGGTGACATCCCTGTACTGTACATAACAGCCCAGCAGCAACTGGGTCAGCAGCTTGTGATCAAATACATTAATATTTCTACAGCAGCCTGAATCGGCATCCACACTGAGTAGATTAAATAAATATTTTAAACAGCTTCCCATCAGTTCAGTTGGTGCCTTGCCAACAAAAGAGGTTAGTGTGAATTTATGAACAAACTTCTAGGTTTGTGGGTTTTGAAATCTTGGATACAGGATTGTGGACATTGATTTTACCTTTGAGACTTATCTATAGATTCTTAATTCTGTTTGCTAATTTCCTTATTCTTACTTTAATCACCATTGCTTCCCTCCATTGATTTTATTATTCTTTTCCTGATTTCTTTCTTTTTATTTTTTTTTCGAGCCAGTGTCTCACTCTGCCTCCCAGGCTAGAGTACAGCGGCACACGCACAGCCACTGCAACCTCAACCTGCTGTGTTCAAGCTATCCTTCTGCCTCAGCCTTCCAAGTAACTGGAACTATGGGCATGCACCCCTGGCTAATTTTTTGATTTATTGCAGAGATGATATCAGGCCAAGTTCCCCAGGCTGGTCTCAAACCCCTGGGCTCAGGCAATCCTCTCGCCTCAGCCTCCCAAAGTGCTGGGATTACTTACAGGTATGAGCCATCACACCCAGCACTTTTCCTGATTTCTTAAAGTAACTTAGTTCTTGTGTTGTATTTCTTTTTTCACAGTGAAAGTCTTTAAGGCTGTGCCCATGCTTTTTGAACAGAACTTTGGTTTATCTCATAAGTCTTTCTAGTAGTGTTCTCTTTTTTATGATTTATAAAATAATCTCATTACGTTATAAAAATCTCTTTGTCTCAGTATGTACTTAGTAAGGTGTTTTATAATTTCAAGTTATAAGGATATTTTTAAGCTTTAGTCATTACTTTATAGTGTTGCTGCATTGCAGTACTTCAATATTTATGAAGGGTGCTCTGAGTGTAATGATAGATTTTTTTTTTTAAAGATTGTTAGAACTAATGTTCTTAAATTTATCTTTCAGAATATGCTTATTTTAACCATGTTTTCACTTACTCAAAAATATGTCGGTCTCATTTGCAGGAATTGCTTACAAATTTTACCTCCCACTAAAAATGAAAACAACAGAAAGTTTCTTTGCTTTATAGTGATATGTCTCGGTGACATATTTAGCTGTTCACCTTTTCTACCTTACTATGTTCCAAGTGTTGAATGATGATTTTCAAAAACCAAATCTACAGACAAGGGAAAAAAAACTCACCACCACTAAAGCTATTTTTTACAAAGTGATAATCTCACCAAAAAGGGGGGCAGGGGGAGAAAATAAGGATAATTCCAAATTTCAAAACAATGGCTTTATTGGGAAAAGTATCGTCTTCATCCCTTCCTTGTTTTACAGAGGGCACATATTGAGGGTCATTGCATCAAAGTCCAGCACAGATTATAAAGAGAGGTTTTATGGCCTTATTTGTGATCTCACATCATATAATTTATGTTGTTTATCTGAAAGTCACATTGTTTGATTGTGAGCGGTAGATGTGACGCTACCATACTCAGAATCTATGATATAGTCTCAGATGAGCTGTGAGTCTAATCTCACTCCAGTGATGGCCTTCTTGCTTTGACTTTGACTGAGTCTTCTCCATCTTTAGAATCTGGGTTTTCTCCAGAAAGGAAACCGTCTTTTGGAACATTGTCTTATAGACAAATGAGGTGAAATATGGAAGACATTTTGAAATCCCAGAGAGAACATCAAGGTATACGTTTAGGCTCTTGTCACTATAACGTGAAAAGGAAACAACATAACATGGTTGTATTACCCAAGTTTGACACATGGATCTCCGGTTCATTTGAAGAATTTCTTTCTGCAGTAGTCATATGACTTCACTTTCGTTTGTTTCAGTCATCCTGTTCCTCCCAGGAGAAGTTGCATCAGTTACCATACCAACCAACACCAGATGAATTACACTTCTTATCGAAACATTTTTGTACCACCGAAAGCATCGCCACTGAGAACAGATGCAGGAACACACCGATGCGCCCCCGCTCCCGAAGTCTGAGGTATGTAGATCTGGCTGAAAACTGTTACTTAGTTGGATTATCTGTTTTCAACTACCTTGAGTTAAGACTTTTGGTCCTCTCATTCCTGTGTGTGCTAGTCAACTTGTGAACTACTATAAATATAATATGATTTGCCCATGTTACTGTTAATTACCATTGAAAGGCATCTTATTTTTCTTTTAAATTCTCACAGTTTGCTAGCTGCTGCAATGGTAGTAATCGTGATAGCCTTAGGGGATGACCTGTGACAACTTCTAACTGTTGGAATTTTCAAGGCAATCTAATTGCAGTGCAAAGTCAATTAATATTATTATGTTAAGATAAGAGAGGCTTAGTTGAAAAGGAAAGAATTAAAGGACTTTTTTTCCAGATTCAGTATTATAGAGGTTCACTCCAATCTTTGTATACTTTCTTCCCACCATAAGTCTTACTTTCCCCAAGACTGCAAACAAATTTTTAGAAGTTTGTGTTACCAGAATTTTGTGGATGCTAAATGTAGTCCACATGACATCTGGTAGGGCCAGTTTTATATTGTCTTTGTTTCTTCGGGAAGCAGACTCTAAAACAGAAATTTGTGTTCAGAATGTTTATTAAGAAGTGTTTTGAGTACTAGCATCCATTGGAACGAAGGGAGGAAGCAGAATTGAGCAGAGGGAGACATCTAGCTGCAATACAGGCCTAACAACCCCAGCAGGCCCCACAAGGAGTTTGGGATTACATGGCCCAATAGAGTTGTTTCTCTGAACCAACTGTCCCTTCCTTTATATCACTACCTCAGTCACTGTGTCCCTCACTGGATAGGGTACCCTGGAAAGGATGTGGCCTTGGGTGAGATGATTCCTTGCAACTGAGGCCATCCCCACATGGACCCATGGCTGAAGGCTTCTGCTGACATCACTCTCAGCAGACAGGGCAACAGGTCCTCCTCGAAAGAGGGGATCTGGACAGTGCATTGATGGCCTTGTCCACTATTGTATGAGGTCTCGATGCTCTAGAAGCAGTGCCCTTGGATGCAACAAGGTTTTATTGTTTTAGAAAATAGTGTGTTTATTAGGCAGTCAATTGAATACCAAAGTTCATTGAGAAGGGTTTTTCCCTTTGTGTTTCCTTCTTCATTTAGTCTCATATAGTAAATATAGTCTCAATACTAAATATAACCACACTGGATCATCGGAGGATGTGTTAGATTATTCTGAGATGGCCAGTTTAACTACTTCCTCTACAGGCACTGTGTTTTATCACCTGGGTGCCACTCTGGGTTTTATTAAAGGAATTTCTAAGATATCTAGTACAAGCTGTACCCATCTAGGAATATAAATACATGGAAGTTTCAGAACTTTGCATCACTAGGAAGGAGCACGAACCGACTATTGAAATAAATAAAGTACACAACATTTGTATGCCTCTGTTTCATATTGTACATAATGCCTGTCTCAGCATCCCAAACATTTGCTAGGCTAGAAAATGGATTTCAATTATGACACCTGTGCCATGAAAGACTCTTAAACCTCGTCAGTGGTGTGTGGTGGAGCGCAGGTGTATGATGAAAGTGTGAAATTACACTGTTAAACGTGTCCTAGATGTTGTTGTTTGTGGCTATCCTCTTTTGTTTTATATTGCAGTTCATTAATTGGTTTGCAGATCTTAGGCAAGTTCATATTACGTGCAGCATATAATCTCAATTTAAGAATGTTTTCTGAACTAGTGTGGTAACTATAATGATTTTGTGGCGTTCCACTTCTTGAGCCTCCTTTTTGAGTCCTATTCAGTGCCTCTGTGTTTGTGGGTATGTGTGTGTGTGCCTGGCCACTAATGACTGATTTTGTAGTTTATTACCTAATAGACTTTTCTTACAAAGGTTGCATAGTACTTTTGATGCAACTGACTGTTTATAAATAAAAAGCTTATTTTCATTTCATGCTGCGGCAAGTTTAAAAGGGTAATTTGCTTTGCTTGCAGCCCTGGACGTTCTCCCGCCTGCTGTGACCATGAAATAATTATGATGAACCATGTCTACAAAGAAAGGTTCCCGAAGGTAATGAATTGGATTTAAGATGCCTAGCATCTAAACAAACGGGCAGCATAGGTTTAGAGTCTGTAAGGTGGTTTTGTTATGGGAAGTGAGGGTCCAATTTGCATGAAGCAGCACCACAGTCTTATTAGAAAGAGAAATGTTAAGCTAACAAATGTTAAGCTACCAACTACTGAGACCAGCCACTCTCCCTGTGTGCAGAACTGGTTTACTGTGAATCCTGCTGGTTATGGCCACACACTGGGTGGTGAGTACTGAAGGGAGGTGCTTTGAAAGACCCCTGGGTTCTCTGTGCTCCTTGCACCCATGTTCCAGGCCTGCTACTGTATCATCAAGCAGAGATTGTTTTTCTCAAAAGGCTCGAAAACCTATAGGTGTGTCATTAAAGTTGCTTTTTAAAAATTTCTTTGACACCTCATTTTTCTTTTCCATGGTTTCCCATCTCTTCAGCTATTGTATTTCTAATCCTATTAATTTCGAAGAGAAGGCACAGTTGCCATGTTTCCCAGTGAGACTGGTAGAAGGAATTTGAATTGAGCCAAAGAGCGATTTGCAAAGAGTTGTTGCCACACCCCTGGCTGGAAGGATCTGCTTCCCATGGTCCCTGTTGCTTCACCCATTTCTACATTTTCCCACCAAAGTATTTCTGCACGTTTGGGAGAAGGCAGCATCTCCATGTTTGTCTTGTTCCTCCCCTGCTACCTCTGTTGCTCTAAGCAAGAGAACAAAGGGAAATCTTTGGTTTCATAAATCAAGTGTAGAGTACTTCTTATTTGTAATGAACCCCACATTGATGTCATTGATTGAAGCTGTTTTAGCTATTTATCACACGTCATTTGCTCACCAGGGAAACAGATACTGACTGTACCTAGTTAATGCAGGTTAGAATGTTAGAGGGAATAGTGGGGAGGAGGAAGAGGGATCTCCCTGCATATGTAATTATTATATTCCAGGACTATTGATTAGGCAGTTGGGGGTCAGAGAGAATGAAATGGAAATTGGAAGGGAAATTTTAGGTTTGCTTTACCAAGAATACCCTTGACCTTTTGCACATAACATAGTTTTTTTGAGAAAATAATCAAGATAATATAAAATATGT